TGCCTAGCTCATGCGAGGGAGGCCCTGGGTTTGATCCTGGGCACCACATAGAAATAAATAAAATAAAGGTATGGTGTCCAACTACAACAAAAGATGAATATTTAAAAAAAAGTGCTTGCCTCGAATGCACAAGGCCTTGTGTTCAATCCCCAGCACGCACGCACGCACACACACACACACACACACACACAAAAGATTTCAGTTTCTAGTTTGTTGTTAATAGTTCAAAGAACTGTTTCCTATTTGTGAAATGTTTAAAACAAAACAAAACAAAAACTCCCTGAAATTGGAGTAATCTTTGACATTCACCATTAGAAAGTGAATTCCTAGGCAAGCTTTGCCCTGTTTTTTTTTTTTCCCCAAAATAAACAGATTGGGTAAGAAATGAAAAGTGCTATTTAAATATAAGTTATTATATTGAGGGCAATATGGCAGGTTGTTTTAGGAAAAAAAGTCATTAGAAGAGAGATTAAGACAAGATAAATATTATTATCCCCAGCATTTAATATTTTCTAATAACACAAATCCTTATCAGAATAGCATTCTACTTTTGAAAAGGAGAAGAATAATAATTGGTCATTCTGTCTACGGGTAGCAAGACACAGCTTAAAATTGTGAATGATATGAACCATTAAAATATTACCTTCCTTAATGGTATTTCAATAATTAATTTATCAATGTTAATATTCTATAAAACAAAGTAGAAGTTATAAATACCAGTTATTTAAAACATATCTAGGACTGGGGACATAGCTCAGTTGGTTACTCTGTGAGCTGCCAGACAGGTTCCATGGGATTACACAGCTGCCTGAAAGCTAGAGGCCAGGCAGTGAACTCCCTGCTTTCTCCTTTCAAGGCCTGCAGGCTATGACCTGCAGTTCCAAGGCCCTGGGTTCAATCCCTAGCAACACCAAAAAAAAAAAAAAAAAAAAAAATCTAGTATTTAATATACATGTCAAGCTATTTTCCTCTTAAATGTTATAGATTAATAGAAATGTGTCTATTATAGTGGATGATAGTTAAATATCCAAATTTAAACATAACTTACCTCTCCTTTTATTAAAACAGATAATTATAATGTCTGAAGACATTAATGGCATGTACTCAGGTTGGAAAAACTTCTTACTTGCTCCTCTCATTAGCTCTGTGATGGAAGGCGGTGGCAATTACTACCAACTTATCAGATTTAAAAAATTGCCACAATTTTAATATTAACTGAACTACTTTGAATCAATTTATTTTGTGAACACCTGAATCCATTGATACTTTTATTTATCCTAGAGCAAATAACTGTTAAGTTTATAGATGATACTATATTATCAACACCATGGATTTTGTGGGGTACTTCCATTTCAGAAATCTCTTTGGAGGGTTCTGGGGATGTAGCTCAGTGGTAGAGAACTTTTTTAGCATGTGCAAGGTCTTGAGTTCCATCCCCAGCATTGAAAATAAATTCCTGGGGCTGGGGCTGGGGCTCAGCGGAAGCGCACTTGCCTGGCATGTGTGAGGCATTGGGTTTGTTTCTCAGCACCTCATAAAAATAAATAAAATAAAGGTCTGTCAACAACTAAAAAAAAAAAATTAAAAAAGAAAAAAAATTCCTCTCTTTCTCATTGTCTTACACTGATTCATGTTTCTGTGTTAAGGTCATTGTCTTTGGCCTCACTTTCCATTCATTCATTCATCAGCTGTTGACTATGTGCTAAGGATACAAAGAACAATAGTTGAACTGAAACAAAGTAGAAGTTATAAATACAGTTATTTAAAACATATCTAGGGCTGGGGATATAGCTCAGTTGGTAGAGTGCCAAGGCCCTGGGTAAGAAATCGGGTTCTACCTGTGCTTGGTTCCTTCTGCCTAGGAGCTTACATCTTAGTAGGGGAGACAGACACTAAACAAATAAATATATATCAATAAAGAAGTTAATTACAGTTTGTGATGTTTTATGACCAGAAACTCTTTGATGCAGTAACATTGGAGCTGCAACCTGAAGGACAAACAACAGTTGACCCTGAATGCTCTGCAAAGAGAAATTTTTGTGTGAAGTCCCCTAGTGGTAAAATTTGGGCAGGTCTGAGAAACATAAAGGTAGCCAGCAAGGTTGGAGAGAGAGGATGAGAGTATACAGGGAGAAGGCACCATCTGAGTCAGAAAGCGATCTCTCATAAACTACCAAATCTGCTGCCACCTTGATCTTAGACTTCCCAGCCTCCAAAACTGCCACAAAGAAACTTTTATTGTTTATAAGCCACCAGTTTATGCCATTTTGTAACAGCACCAGAAGAGATTAAAGCAGGGAGGAAGAAATGACAGGCAGAATGCATTCTTACAAACAATAAGACCCTGAAAGATTGTTGAGCAGGGAAGGAGAGGGGGTACTTGGAGAGGAGAGATGTTCAGGATCAAGTGATGCCACATGGGAAGATGTATAAATCAAATTGTGGTAAAATTGTTAAAATTCAGAGAAGAGCCCCATGTTTAGAATCTTGTATGCAAATGGTTATGATGACTAATCCAAGCAATTTTTTTGCACTAAAATTCTGTCACTAATCAAAAATTAAATGACATTCCCTTGAGTCCAAAGCTTTGAAATATGACTCTATGCCAATGAAAACAAACACATATTTTCAGAATGGATTTATCACACTTGGAGGACATATTTAATAAGCCAAGTGAATAACTTTGATCCATTGCTTGTTTTTCAAATGACACAAAAAGTATCATTCTCTTCCTTTTCTTTAGCCACAGGTAATTGGAATTCACCAATAATGCTTATGTTTATGGGTTAAGAAATGACTGAATGCCGGAAGATAATTTATAGTGAAAGTGTTAATTTCCATGTAAGAAAATTACATCTACAGGTGAAATTTTGTGTTTCTAGGATTTTTAAGTATTTAGAGAGAAATTCATTATATATTCCTGAAAACTTTCATTAAATTATGGTTTAATTTCAATTGTTCTTGGTGTTAATCATCTGACTGGTGATACTGATGAATATCTGCTCCACTTCTTCCCACAGAGAGATTTCTGATAGACTCTTCCTTTGGTAGCCTTTCTGGTTATAACTCACCTTCCTAATTCTTCTTTACCTCTCTCTGTCCATGGCCTGTAATTGACCTCATTCACACATATTCTTGGGTCCTTAAGCATACCATGATCTCTTTGTTTCTCCAATTACAGTTTTGGAATGTTTGCACAGAGAATTAGTTTATAGTTTGGTTCATTCTTTTGTTAATATAAGAGGATGGAATGAAATCCTTGCTTCCCTTCAGCCTTGACAGGTCTTGGCAGTAATTACTACTTACTTCTCTGGGATTTCCATTAGAGGAAAAAAGCATTCACTCTTCTTTTCATACATCGTCTAGCTCAAATATGCCTCCCAATTGGATGTTAAGCCTCTTTTCTCTTCCTGGAACCCAGCAGTCATCCCCCATTCTTATGGAAGCGGACCCTCTTGCTATTCCCAAGCATAGTTGTTCTGTGTTTTCTTACCCCTGTGCATTTAGGCTCACACTGAGTGAGTGCCCTCATCTCCACCCAGCCAACATTTCTGCCTCCTTCACCAGGTCTTATCCATGGTCTTGGCACAGAGTAGGTAATTTCCTTCAATCATAAGTCTTTGACCTTTTTTTTTTTTTTCTCCTGGGGGGTTGAACCCAGGGTGCTTAATCACTGAGTCACATCTTTAGCCCTTTTTACTTTTTTTTTTTTTGAGATAGCCTCTCACCAAGTTGCTTAGGAACTCCCTAAGTTGCTGAGGCAGGCCTTGCACTTGAAACCTTCCTGCCTCATTCTCCCCAGCTGCTGGCATTACATGCATGTACCACCGGACTCAGCAGTCTTTGATTTGTTCCTGTCCCTAAGACAATGAAGTCACTTGCTCAGATTTCCCAAAGGCAACAGCAAGAACCCAGATTTGATTAACAAAGGGTTAAGCCTGTGACTTAGAGAAAAGTCAGGTGGGATGAAGACAATTGGATAAAGAGAGAAAGACTAAGTTTTGAAATCAGTTGTATGTTTTGGTGTGAATTCTAAGAATCACCAGTTCTGTAATTCTGGGTGAGTTCTTTCCCTTTCTGAGCCTCAGGTTTCTCATCTGTGTCATGGGGATTAAAAGTCCTGTTTCTCAGAGCTATGAAGATGAATGAGATGGTATATGAGTTAGTGCTTGGCACAAAGTAAGGTCTCCAAAAAGGTTAGTTCTCCTCTGTTATGTTCTAAATTGGAAAAGAAGCGAGGGATTGGTTTAGATTTCCTACAGGAACATAGAAACTCAGGTAAGGTTCCAGTGTGCATAAGGTTGGGAATAAGGTAGATCAGCAGATTAGAAACGCGTTAGAATAGTTGCAAGTTACAGGTCAGGGAAGAAAGTGGATTGGCAGTAGTCTAAGGGAAATATTAAATATGAACAATGGAGTTTGAGGAAGGTTAAAACCAAGATGGGCCGTAAGAACCAATAAAAAAATCAAAGCACAAAAATTAGAAAAGTTGAATATATGTATCCTTGGCCTTGGCCTTGTGATTTCCTTTGGCCAATGGAACGTGAGCAGAGATACATAGTAGATTCAAGTCTAGGCCTGAAGAGGCATGCTGCAGGCAGCCACTGCTCCTTCTGCCAAGCAGCAGAATAAGACATGTATAGCAAATTTGGCAGAGCTCCCCCAACTGATCTGCAGACCCATGATAAGAAGTATTCATTGTTGTATGCCCCTGAGATTTTTGTGGTTGTTTGTTATGCAGCATTATTGCAGCAACAACTACCTGCTATACCTCTCTTCTTATCTGTTAGATCTATGGCTGGAGAAGCCAAAAACTGTTGGGTGTTTTTTTTTCTTTTTTTAAGTTACAATTCAATGGAGATATTTTTGTGTCTCTTGGTTAATGCATTCTTCTCAGCTGAACTAAAATCTCAGAGCCAATCAAGTTCAAAGTTTCAGGGCAAGAAGTTAAAATTCTGTGAGAGGGTTGTGAGTTATAATTGTGAGAGGAATGCCCTTCCTCATAATTATATTCCTTTATTCTGGGACTTCTGTATCTTGCTATTGTATAAACAATATCATATACTGGTTGCTGATACAGAGCCTATACTGTGCCCTGTGACAATACATCCTCTTTTCATAAGGTGTTGTCCCTCAGGGGCACCAAAATTTGGCCTTTAGGTGACCTCTCCACCATTCTGGCAGGTAATTGCTTCTGAGTTGTGGGATAAATATAGAGCTGATGAACTCAGAGCACATATTCTACACCACATGTCTTTTGTTGTAAAATAAATTCTTTGTGTAGAACCAAAGTTATGATCAAGGATAAAGCATTCTGTAAGTCCATGGATGGACAACGGCACTGAAAGAAGTGTTGTATGGAGGGAAGGCAAACTCATATAAAGAATATTGCTATGCTGAGACTGGTGGTGCTCACCTACAATCCCAGCTACTTGTGAAGTTGAGGTAGGAGGAACACAGGTTTGGGGACAGCCTGGGCAATTAGAAAGACCCTGTACTGAAAGAAAAGAAAAGAAAAACAAACAGCTTGGGATATAGCTCAGAGGTAAAAGTGTTTGCTTAACATGAACAAGGCACTGGGTTCAATCCCTAGGACTGCAAAAACAAAAACAAAAACAAAAAAACACAATGAGATGATGGAGAATGGGGAGAAGTGGGAGAAGAAGAAGGAAAACAAAAAGGGTAATATATCCATGGTTTGAATGTGGTTTGTCCACTGAAACTCATGTTAAGGCTTAATTCCTCAATATAGCCATGTTGGGAGATGGAACATATTGAGAGGTGTTTTGAGTCATGAGGTGGAGCTCTCTTGCAGGAGTGAATGAATTATCACTTTCATGGGTCTGGATTAGTTCTCAAAAGAGCAGGTTGTTATAAAGTTCTGCTTCCTTGGCTTCTTCTTGCTTCTCTTTCACTTGTCCTTCCACTTTCCACCATGAGACCCTTACCAGAAGCTGAGAAGATGACAGTGTCATGCTCTAGGACTTCCAGTACTATAAACTCTTCTTTAAAATAAATTACCCAGACTCAAGTATTATAGCAATAGAAAAGAAACGAAGACTGAAGATGTTTCTGTTCCAGGGAGTAAAGACCTCATCACAATCAAACTGCTATCAATGTACTTGCACAGTTCACCTATAAGAATGTTGTTGTACTATAGACTGAGTGTGGGCTAGCTTGATGGCAGATCAGATGCCCAGAAGTTGGTGATCAGGTCATCCTGCAGGGAGGAAAAGCATTCACTTTATTTTACCAAATAATTTCATCAACAGAATGAAGGAGGAACAATAGAAATGGTAAATATATAGGTACATTTAATAGACTGTTCCATTTTATTTGACAGTTCTTCAAAATATATTTAATGCTTGAAAGCAAAAAGTAGATAATTATAAAGTGGGGAGGGAGGGTGTTATGGTTTGGATATAAGGTGTCCCCTCAAAGATCGTATGTGAGACAATGCAAGAATGTTCAGAGGTGAAATGATTAGATTATAAGAGCTATAATCTGATCAGTGGATTAATCCACTTGATGGATTGATAATTTGAAAGGACTACTGTCCTCTGTGGTAGCTGTAAGAAGATAAGATCTGGCTGAGAAAGTAGGTCACTGTGAATGTGACTTTGGGGTTTATATATGGTCCTAGTGTCTTGATCTCTCTCTCTGCTTCTTGATTGCCATGAGCTCAACAGTTTTTCACCACCACACCCTTCTACCACCATGTTCTACCTTACCGTGGGCTCAGGGCAATGGAGTCCACCCACCAGAGACTGAACCTTTAAAACTGTGAGCCTAAAATAAACTTTTCCTCCTCTAAGTTGTTCTTATCAGGGGTTTTTGTCAAAGGGACAAAGAGCTGGCTAACACAGAGGGTGGAAGGACCCCTATGTTGGTAGCTTTCTACATTTCACTTGAAGTGGTAAAATATTGATTTTATATGGACTAAAAAACGTATATATATACTATTCCTCCAGATTAACCAATTTAAAAAGATAAAAGCCCAGTGTAGTGGCACATACCTAAAATCCCAGCAACTCAGTAGGTTTGAAGTAGGAGAATCCCAAGTTTGAGTCCATCCTGGGAAACTTAATGAGACCCTGTCTCAAGATAAAATATAAAATGGGTTGGAGATGTGGCTCAGTAGTAGATCACTTGTCCAGCATGTGTGAGGCCTTGGGTTCAATCCTTTGTACTAAACAAACAAATAAACAAACAACAACAACAACAACTGTACAAAGAGTCAAGATTGACAATAGATGAACTAAAATGTAACATAAAAATATTCAAAAACCTCAAAGAAGAGGAAAAAATGGAAAACAATGACAGAGGGAACATACAGAAAGCAAATAATAAAATGGTAGCCCTAAATTCACACCCTCAAATAAATGCAAGTGTATTATTGAATACCTCCAGTCAAATTCTTTCTGGTACCATTTCTGTATGAAGAACTTTATTTAATGATTCTTTTAGAGCAGGTCTACTGAGAGTGAATTATTGTGTTTCCATTCATTTGAAAATATTTTTATTTCACTTTATTCCTGAAGTATAGTTAGGTGGTTTCACAATTTCAAGTTGATAGTTCTTTTCTTTTGATACTTGACAAATGTGCACTGATCTTCATGGCCTGATGAGAAATCTGCAGTTACCTGAATCACTGTCCCCCTTGCAGGTAATGCATCATTTTTATTCATCTACTTTTAAGATTTTTTTTTTTTTTTTTTTTTTAGTCTTTAGTTTTCAGTAGGTTAATTATGATTTCTGGGCATGGATTTCTTTGACTTTTTCCTACTTGAATTCATTGAATTTTAAAAATATCTATGTTTATGTGTTTAGCCAAAATCAGAAAAATTTCAGTCATTACATCTTCAAATACTTTTTCAGCACCTTATTCTTTCTCTTTCTGGAACTGATGACTTGGATGTTAAACCTTTAACACAAATGTTCCTGAGGTTCTGTTCACTAAAAAACAAAACAGCAACAATAACAACAAAAAACATAACAAATTGTTTTCCTCTGTTGTTCATATTAGAAAATATCTATTGACTTATCTTCAAGTTCACTGACTTTCCTCTGTCATCTCCTTTTTTCTTTTGAGTCTACTGAGTGAGGTTTTTTTTTTTTTTTTTAAATTCTGGTTGCTGTATTTTTCAATTCTAAATTTTTCTCTTTTTAAAAACCTTTACTTTTACTTAAACTCTGTATTTTTCTACTTGTTTTTAAGAGTGTTTACAATTTTTGCTGAGTGTTTGTACAATAGCTGTTTTAAAGTCTGTGAGATAATTTCAACATCTGTGTTATGTTAGTACTAGTATCTGATTATCTTTTACCATGCAAGTTAAGATTTTCTTGATTCTTTGTAACTTGAGTAATTTTGCATTATCTTCTGGACATATCGGACATTATGTTCTGAAATTCTGGATTTTAAGTCCTACACAGAGTGTTGGTTTTTGTTTGTTTGTTTGTTTTTGTGGTATAGAGAATCAAACCCAGGCCTCACGCATGTTAGCAAGCACTCTACCTCTGAGTCACATTCCCAGCCCTGTATTTGTTAGTTTTAGTAGGCAATCCACCTGGTCAGGTTAAGGCTGCAAAATTCAATGCAAGCTGTGGTTCTAACATCAGCTCAGTATTTCAAACCTTTGCTGCACTATTCTGAACTAATCCACATATGGGTCATCTGGTGGTCAGTTTGGGTCAGGGTGGAGGGGGTATGTTATAGCTGTTAGTTTGGTTTTTAAAGTCTTTGGTATGCTAATTAAGATCAGATCTATTTATGCATAGCTTAGTGGTGCGCCCACTCTAATCTTTTCCAAGTCCCTGGCCCTCTCATTTTTGGCTCTCTGGCCACCAAGCTGAGGTTTTAGTTACCTGGCTATGCTGTGCACTTCTATAACTGCTTGCATTCAACACCAAGCAGCAGGAAGCTAGATGCATAGAAAGAGGCAGTGAGGGCTTGTGCCACTATCTTGGTGCCCCACCTCTACCATTCAGCAAGAAAGATTCTCCCCTTTTAGAGTGTTGCCTCCTGTATTCTCCCACTGTGGCCTCCACTATCACCACAGGATTGTTTGGAAGCAGGAACACAAAAGACCTGCTTTCTGTGAAGAAAATCCTGGTGATTTCTATTTCTTTACTTTCTATGAGCATTAGGTGCTTGCATCCAGCTCTGTAAGAGAAAAATGGAGAGCTTCTCTGGGAGATTTTTCTTTTTGGGCCCCAGTGCCCATTTCCAGATTTGAGATTATATTGCATTCAGGTCAAAGATTACTAGAGGAAGAAGAAAAGAAGAGGGGGAGAGATGTTTCCCTTTCATTGCCCTCCCCCCCCCCCAAGTACTGAGGATAGAACCCAGGGGTGTTTCACCCCTGAGCTATATCCCCATCCCTTTTTGTTTATTTCAAGACAGGGTCTCACTAAATTGGTCAAGTTGTCCTTAAATTTGCAAATTCTTCTGCCTCAGCCTCTCAAGTCACTTGGATTATACGCTGTGCCACAGTGCCCAGCTTGCCATCATTTTTTTTTTCTTTTTCCTTCTTCAGACATGTTAGATCAAATACATAGCAAGTGCTATGCTGATGTTTATAATAAAATGTAAACTTATCTTAAATAGTGCTCTAAGATAATTGTTTTGTATTACCAGATTATTATTTTAGTGCTGCTAATGATGCTATTGAAATATTGAAGAATATGGTTTCCCAGTAACAATTGCTTCATGGGAAGCTGAAAACTGAATACTTATGGGTTGGAGGGGAGGATTACATTGAGACTTTTGAAAAATTATCTTTGATTTTTTTTTTATTTTCAAGTTATCTATGACCTTAAAGAAAGCACTACTTGCATCCGTCCTACGAACTCCAGTCTTTCCCCAATTCACTTTTTGCTCTTTTTGTTTCAGATTTCTCAAATAGGTGCTTTATAAGTCTGTCCACGTTTCATAAATGAGAGGGTGGGCCTTTTATCCAGAATCAGAACACCCAAACCCTAACTTGCCTTTTTCCTTCACAATTATTTAATATTTTACTTGTCATGACTAAATTCTTGAGGGGGGGGATGTATCCAGACCTATGGGTATATGTTCAGTTTTTATTAATACATTTTATCTAAAAAAAAATTTCTTCTGCTTCTCCTGTAGTATATAGACTAAATATAACCATGATTCATGTACTAAATACTCATTCATTTAATTTATCCTAGGGTAAACAGAGACATAAAACTTCTCATACCTCCAAGCACTCTTGACTTATGCATTGAACTTTGTTAGAAGCTTTGTTCCCTTTTTATTTTAACAATCTTTGGTTATGTAATTATAAGGTTGCTGACTATTGTACATAGTTTAAAAAAATTTTCAGATTTGTGAACTTCTGCATTTAAAGAGACACATTTTTTTAAAAAAATATTTACTTTTTAGTTGTAGTTGGACACAATACCTTTATTTTATTTACTTATTTTTATGTGGTGCTGAGGATTGAACTCAGGGTTTTACACATGCGAGGTGAGCGCTGAGCCCCAGCCCCAGCCCCAAGAGACACACTTTTATTTCCCAATGTAATTTCACAGAGCTCTTGGTAGAAATGACATTCTTATTGGGTCATTTGAAATTCTTGTTGTAAAATAAGTTATTATTATTATTTTTTTACTTTTTCCTTCCTCAGAGATGTTACATCAAATACACTAGAAAGTACCAATGCTGATGTTTATAATAAACATTATGCTCTAAGATAATTGTTCTGTTTATTACCAGAATAAACTATAGTGCTACTAATGATGTTGAAATATTGAAAAATATGGTTTCCCAGCAGCAACTAGTTTTTATGAGAAGTTGAAAACTGAATCCATTTTAATACTTGTGTATTGGTGGGGGAGTGATATTTTAAAAATTGTCTTCATTTTTTTATATTTACAGCTTATCATGGCTTTAATGAAAAGCATAATTTTTATCAGATAAGCAGTGCTTTTAAAAATATACTAGGAGGGCTGGGGATGTGGCTTAAGCAGTAACGCGCTCACCTGGCATGCGCAGGTAGCTGGGTTTGATCCTCAGCACCACATAAAAATAAAATAAAGATGTTGTGTCCACCGAAAACTGAAAAATAAATATTGAAAAAAGTTATTTTTCTCTCTCTCTCTCAAAAAAAAATGTACTAGGAACTTAAAAATGTACTAGAATTTGTACTAGAAATTTGGCTAACTGGGGTTGAATCCTTCTCAGGCCTCAATAACCGTCATTTAAAGGTTTTCCCCTCCTGGGTTTCATCTCTCTCATTTTAATGTGGTTATGATCAACTTTGTTCACTTATTACTCCCAGAATATTTTGGTGAAAATCAGACTAAGATTACAAAATCTTTGCATACATAAACCTCATGCTGACATTAAGATTATTATAGTGATGAAAAATAAGACAAGAAAAAAGAAATTTGATCATCACCACAGATTATTAGCTATTTGGTCATAAGGCTGACAGATTATTTTAAATTATGGTATTTAATTATCCTTTGTTTGGAAACAACTTTTATGTGTTAGTCTCTTAGTCTCTGAAGATCAGAGGTCAAAAATGCAACCAGCACATAGGTTTGGTTGACGCACCCATGAGTAGCCTATATAGCATTTTTGAGAATGTGAAATGTATTTCCTCATCCAAAGGGGAAAACAAATAGAGGGCAAGGATGAGGGGATGGGGTGTCGGGGGGGTGGTTCTTTGTAGCTGTCCATCCTCAAACTGAGAAAGTAGCTGTTCCCTTTTACTAAGCTCTCTGGTTGCTGTACCTGGACTTGTACATATTGGCAGGACTTGTCTGGCCCCAATAGGGATTGAGCTTGGAACCCTGTTGTAGACATGTAAGGTCAAGTTGTCTTTGCAGGAACTCAGCTTCAGTTTTTTTCAGAGTAATCGCCGTTTTTGCATGGGTTGTGGTCTTCCCATGGGCCACTGTAGTGTTGCTAATGACTCTGTAGGCCCTTATTGACTCTTAATTAAGAAGTCACTTGCAGTTATTTGTTGAAGATGTAGAATTCAACAAGTAAGTAGAATAAAGGATTCTACTGAAAAACTAGGACATAGTATGTGAGAATAAGTCCGACAGTGATTTAAGTTATTCTTCTCTGTGTCTCTATGTACATCTTGGAAAACTGTCATCATGCTTCATCTTTGATGAGTCAATAGAGATGGTGATATTGTCTATCTTGATGACAAAATAGATGGTTCTATTCTTCATTTCATATTCACTAATAATATGTAAAAGAATTTCATTTGTTTCTTGATGAACTAAAATGGTAAAAATGTTGGTGTATTTTGTGAACAAGAATGAGACTTGAGACTGGTATCCATAGTACAAAAGATGGGTAGAAAATTGGAATACTAGGTAGGCCCTATGATTCAAAGAATTACACATGATCTCAGCCTTCAAAAATGTATAATCCAGGAAAGAATTGCTTTGGTGATGACTGCCTTGTCATGTGATTGGTAACTAGAGGCAGAACTTTTCAGTCAAGAAATTGCTCTATCTGCTTGGCCTGACTTATCAGTGTTTTTACCCCCCATGTACATGAAAACAGAAGTTTTTACTTTTATTTACTTATCTATAACCTTTTAAAAACATGTTATGATAAAATTCTCCTGTTTTGAAAGAATCCACTTGTAATGTATTTCTTGGAATCTACTATTTCTACACCGAATTGATATTTCTGGCTCTGTATATACTGTGTCCCACTTTCTTGTATGTGCATAATTTCATGCATGCACAATTTAAAATAGAAACTGAGATAGAAAAATTGAGGTTTTTCTATAGTAAAACTATAGTCATTAATGGTTATAGGTGCTCTTGCAAAAGTAAGCTTGGGAGGAAAGTAACTGATTTTGTGTAACACAGATGCACACATCTGTAATCCCAGCAGGCTGAGGCAGGAGGACTGAGAGTTCAAAGCCAGCCTCAGCAACAGCAAGGGGTTAAGCAACTCTGAGATCTTCTCTCTAAATGAAATACAAAATAGGGCTGGGGATGTGGCTCAGTGATTGAGTGCCCCTGAGTTCAATTCCTGGTACTCTCCCACCCCCCCCACCCAAATCTAGCTTCCTTCTGTAATAACTGAAATGGTTAATAAATAAGTGCTTACCCATAGGTCTCTCTTTACATATAATTGAATAACCAGATGATTCTAATCAGGGAAGAAGTTGTCAGGTAGTTTTTGGTTTGTGTCTTCTCTCCAAATTTATACTTTGCTATTCTAAAATGTTAGGTAATTTAATATGTAGCTCCTTACCCTCCACCTTAGAGAAAATCCTCCAGTAAAAGAATACCAAAAAACTAAAGATGTGTTTACTTACATATCTCTTTCAGGATAATTATGGGTTTTCTCAGTAGTTTCTTGCTTATAAGGGTAAGTGATGTTCTTGATCACATAATCATTTTTTATATATAAAAGAACCGAGAGTTTCCGACAGGAAACAAAATATTGTTATATCTAAATACTGAAAAATATTTTTGTATTTGTGTGGTGGAAACTAGAGATTGAGGGGTCAGAGAAGTCTTACTGTTGACCTAATTTTGTAAACCTCGATTTGAATTCTTTGGTGTGTTAGTCATCTTGCCACCTCTGTGACAAAATACCTGAGATGACTTAAAGGAGGAAAGATTTATTTTTGGTTCACTGTTTAGTCCATGTCAATTGGTTCCACTGTTCCTGGGCCTGGGTTGAGGCAAAATATCATGGTGGGGAGGGTCAGTGGGAATATAGCTGCTCTGGAAGCTGGGATGGGGGAGGGAGAGATGGGAGTAAGAGAAAAAGTAAAGGAGAGAGAGAATATGAATATGCCAGGGCATAGAATATAATCTTTTTTGGTGGTCGGTGGAGGAGGTACAGCGGATTGAACTCAGGGACACTCACTGAGCCACATCCCCAGCCCTATTTTGTACCTTATTTAGAGACAGGATCTCACTAAATTGCTTAGCGCCTTGCTGTTGCTGACGCTGGTTTTAAACTTAAAATCCTCCTGCCTCAGCCTCCTGAGCTGCTGGGATTATAGGCGTGTGCCACTATGGTAAGATATAGTCTTAAAGAGCACACCTCCCAAGCACCTACTTCCTCTAAATTGACCATACCTCCTAAGTTTCTACCATTCCCTAATAGCCCATTAAATTATAAACCCAT